AAAAAAGACATGCCCGCTGAGTTTCTTGCTTCTTCTTCTTTGATTTGATTTGATTTACATTAAAAGTAAAACTAATTTTTTTGCTAGAATTAACCCCCTTTTTCTTACGCATGTTAGTTTTTTTTATGATGAGGGATTACTGGTGGCCCGGAGGCCTTTCTAGTTTCACCAGGACAAGTGGGCGAGCAATAACTCAGCCAGGAGGTGTGGGATTTGCTAACAGCTACCCGAGCGCCTTCAAAGGAGAACTAACAACTCAAGAGTAACTGCTTCGCGAATGAATCTACCACCGGATCGGAATCGACGCATGTTAGTATGTATGTATGTATGTATGTATGTATGTATGTAACAGAAACTTTGAATGTGACTTTGACCCCCCTCAAAATGTCGGATTAACTCAAAATTCGAAGTACCTACCTAGTTATCGCGGACCGATGACAATTCAATATTTTAAAGAGTTAGACTCGTTATTATTTACTTTCGGCAGTCAAAACAACAAATTAATTGGAGCGCCTTCTTTTTTCCGCTTAGCTAATTAGATATTGTTCTATTTGCGTGAATAAACAATAATGAATAATTTATGTATGAAAAATAAATAGGAGTTAAAAAAAAACACGCTCAGCCCACGCCTTTTTTACAATAAATTGATTTATAATGTTTTAGTTGGATTTTCTAGAAAAGCGTGTGGTTGCGCTGGTTTAAAACTTAGTTAGTTTTAGGTTTCGAAAAATAGCAACATTTTAATTTGGTTTTGCAAATCCTGTCCCATCCCTCTCCGGCACTTTACCTACGGACGCGTGCGAGCGAGATCGTGTGGTGACATCAAAGAGACGAAAAAATATGGCTGAACAACCGCGCGCGCGCTTCGTGTCTTTGTTATGTTAAATACGTAAATAAGTGAAATCGTTGGTGTTTCTCATCGCGAAGTGGTACGAGTCTGCAGCAAGGACTACATAAAGGTATTGTGCATCCTTCCTTTAACGCAGAACTGCCGCTTCTTATCGTTTCTTCCCGCAGTCTGTGGTCCTTCATTTGCAACGACCAAATTTAAAATATTTTCATAGTTTGCTTATCTCGCGTCTACATTTTTTGGTCCAAACGAGCCGGATTCGTATTGAATCAGCGCCAACCATTGCCTAGGTTTACCTAATTTACCTAATATAATTAGAACCGCGTACCAAGTAGGTACTTCGAAAAAATATCGCTTTTCCTGATTTCGTCTTTAATATCGTTTTCGTTCACATTATTTCTTACA